TTACAAAATTTAATATATAATATATAATAAATTATATAAAATCAAAATTAAATAACAATAAATCAAATTTAGAGTTAGAAACTTGAAATTAGCTAATTAAAATTTAAATATCCAACAACACAAATAAATTAAACGAAGAAAATGACGTAAATTTAGAATTTTAGATGGTTAAATCAAATTTGTCCCGAATTCCCGATTAAAATGTTGATTTGTGGTTGGGTTGTGTGGGTTGTGGACTTTTAAAATGAAAAATGAGCTTAATTTATGGGTTATCTAATTAAAATTTACTAACCCAAGATGAGAAGCCCAAAAGGAAATAGGCAAAAAGTTCAGCTATATACCAAACAGAAGGTAAAATCGAGATTTTACCTGATTTCACGGTAAAATCAAGATTTTACGGTGAAATCTCCAAGTTTTATGAATTTCAGATTTTAGTATAAATTTTACACGAAATGTTTTGTTGAAATTATAAAATCGTAAGATTTTAAGATTTAAAGATTTAAATCTAGATTTTGACAACAATGCTTACTGCGCTTGATGAGCCCAAATGAAAGTGCAAGTTTTGAAAGACCTTTTATGGAGTAGATGGGCCCTTCTTGTCAATGTCTGTTTTCATTTTCCTCTCTTTTTCTTCCCAATCCCTCTTTCCATGAAATGCAGCTATGAGGGCCTCTGTGGTTGTCAGGGATCCCGCAAAAACAATTTAAGGAAGTTGGTAGAAATCAAATCATGGTTTGGGCTAAGAGGAAAAGAATTCAAGATTAAAAGTTTATAATCGATTCTATAAGATATAATAAATTATATGTATCAAGATTATGTTTCTCAATAAAAAAATATAAGAAGAAATTTTTTTGGTTTAAGATAATTGATTACTTTCAAAAATTATTGATTATATATATTTTTATCTTAATTGTATAATAAAAAATAATTATTTTTCATTTCTTGTTTCATTTTATTTCTATATTATATGATTTAAATTTAAAATCTCTTAACTTGAATAGAAGAATATTATTTTATTATAAATTTAAAGAAATTGATTAAATTATTTTATAATTAAATTTTTTTTTACATAAATTTTGATGTCATAAATAACAAAATCTTAGTCTAAGTCAAATAATCTAGTGGGCTCCACTTTTCGGAATTACTTTTCTAAGGTTCATGGTAATCAAACAGCCCTGAAAGAGAAGTCCGAAGCATCTCGAAGACATATTTAGTAAAAGGAGGATTCCAAGGATGGAAAGTAAATTCAAACTTGAAGACTTCGACAACAGAATAGTCGAAGATAAAACAGAGATTCTTGATGCCGTTCAGGACAAAAGAGAGGAAAGTAGCAATTGCTGGGGTGTAGGAGTCCGTGTGGGGAAAGATGGTACTTATTAAACAGCAGACAAGAAGAAAGATAATGCGCTCAGAAAAGGAGCGCAGAAGTGACTAGGGAGAGAGGTGGTGCTATCTAAACATGACAGACCGCTTTTTCAGAGTTTGTCACCCTTTCCCTCTTCTATTTTTTAATGGGGAATTAATATTTTGGCGGCGAGAGGAGGAGGAGGAGGAGGTGTCTTGAGTGCCACTGCTTTCTGCAGTGATGCAATTTTTTCGCTGAATGAAACCACTTTCTTCTTGACTTCATCCAGAGACTGCTCACCCTTCTTGATTTCATCCAAAGACTTCTTCGCCAGCGCAGCCCATTTTTTCTTCTTGAGTTCATCCAAAGACTCTTCTGCCAGTGAATATTGATCTGACTCTCCCATTGTGGAAAACCTCTTGAGTTTATTCAATTCCACCTCCAGCATATTCTCATTCGCCTCCTTGATTTCTACAAATTTCATCTCTTCACTTTTAATCTCATTCTGGATGTTATCCAAAAGACTCTGCACTCTTTTGAATTCCTTTAAATCATCAGGATCCCAAAACGTCAGACGTCGTTCGATTCTTTCTTTTTTTGGTGTAGCCGAATATTTCTTTACTATTAGAACAGTCTCATTCCTATTCATTAGTTTACACGCTCTTTCAGAGAGTTCGTTCAAAGACTTCTTCACCGTTTCGAGTTCATTCGAACACCTCTTCGCTCCATTAACCCAAGATGGCTCTTCTATTTCCTTTGGGACTGACGCTTTTCTCGCTCTCTGTCTTAGATTAGGGTGGGTAGTTTTATCATATTGAACAACACTTCCTTCTGCCTTTGGGTGCTCCTCTTGGTTCATTCTGTGACTTTGATTCTTGATGAGGACACTTTTCTCTTCTTCACTTTCTGTCTGTGTTTGATTAATGAGGGCAACTTCATCTTCCTCATCAACGTTTCCGTCCCCCTCTGTCTTGTGTTGACCATCATAAATTTTGGGAAATGATCCAACGAGACCAAAAACGATAGGGAACACACATATTGTGACCTGGCCTATCTGTTGAACAACAAAAACATAATTAATTGTTGCAAGGATGAGCTGAACCACAGCAGATGTCAATCCAACCTTATCCCAGAAGCTGAAGAAAGGCTTGTTGGGGTAAGGCCAAGGCACCTTACCAATGATCCACTTCCAGCTCCAGGTAACTCTTTCTGTTTTCCCTTTGTACCAAAGCTCCAAAATGCAAAGAATTGAGGAACATAATGACAGCAACATTAATATCAGCGCATATTGAGATTTAGGCTCAGAGGAAAGCTGGTCAAGTAGAGCTGAAGGGATCTCCAAGATGAAGTTGACAATAGCAAACCCCCGTTCAGTGGTAATCTATGAAAAAAAGAGAATCTCTTATAGTAACAGATTCATTTATTTTATGAAAAAAAAAATATTGTTCTGATTTTTCACCTGTGAACACCAAACGCATCCCCAGCAAATATATGCCTTAACCGCTGTTCAAAAAAAGAATATCTGCATTAACCGGTGGATAGAATGGTTGAGAGAAAAGAAAAAATTAATCCACATCAGTTTAGGTTTGTGGTACCATATATAGACATTAATGAAACTCTCTCTGGCCTCAATAAAGAAGTTCATACCTAGAAGAATTGTGGAACTCTTTTGATATTCAGATCCAGTGCTATCGATGATTATTGAACGTAATGGAACAAGATCTGCTGCGTCCTTGTTGGTTCTATCTGCCCAAAATTTTGAACATAGTAGAAAAGTGGCAGCAACGATTGGCCACAGAGTTATTTGAATCTGGGTATTGGCATGTCGAACCAGTAGATCAAAATTAACTACTGTAATGATGAACGTAAAAAGAGCAGATGGCAGCCCAACAATATCCGCGCCCCGGAAGAAGGATTTGTTGGTTGAAGAAGAATAAAGCAAAG